GGAGTTTATTAATTACTCAGAAGTAAGATTAATACATATATGACCATCATTGATTAACATTGAATACTCTATTTAATAACAAAATTTATTAGAGATTCATAATTAATCGCGTTCCAGTCCTATGTAATCATATTACATAAAATGCTTTCATTCCAATAATCTCATTATTAACAATCTAGGATAAGATTATTTCATTCAGAATGTAATGAACCGCATTAGTAATTTTAAATTAAAAATCCCAACTTTAATTTATAATTACGGACAAGTTTAGATTATTTTATTTCAAACATTATCCTCTGCATATAACAATTATATACAATGTTTAAAGTTACATAAAAAATAATTTAGGGATTTTGATATTTATAAAACATCACATGTATGCAAAATAATATTAAAAAAATTTCTCATTTCATTGATAATCAACAAAATATTTACATCTTATTTGATTTATGGGCATATATCCCAACAGTATCATCTCGAACACCAACTGCCCGCCAAGTCCTACGAGCTACTCAGTTCATACTGATTCAAACTTTGTGTTTGCGGAGCAAGGAACGCCTTCGGGAACTGAGAATGACGATGCAAGCCCAAATGGGGCTCAATCAACTGACGAAGAAATAGTTTCTGATGTAGAGCTTACTTTCCCGAGGCAAATGACGTCCATAACTCCTTATCAACTCATGTCAGCTACACAGAAACTACACCTCAACTAAATTAGCTTGAGTTTTTAGTCGTTTGTAGTTGTGAATTATAATGTATAAGTAGATTATAACTTTTTTGTTGTAACTTGTAAATATGTAAATATATTTCTCGCGCTCATAGCGATTTCATAAACCATGACGCAGAGATTGAAAACAACCAGATTCCAACTCGGAATTGGCAGAAAAATGAAGGAGATTCATGTGGAATCGACCCTCTTATATTGGTATTAAGTGGAGCTGAGCTCAAGACTCACAATGTCTATAATATGAATATACTCAGCTAGATTTCTCAAATATCTAGCAACACACTAAAGGCACGTAATCCCAAACTCCAGGACAATAAGAGTCCCAAACGACAAAGCACTCGACAAAACGACAACAAGAAATTAAATCAAACGACAATTGAAAACATAAAGATAAGCGGCGGTTGGTCGGCCTCAGTTGCTACTGCATCAGATTAACTTTTGTCTTGGCGTTTGGAATGATGCAACTTGGCCATAACTTTATTTTACATCTTGCCATTCACCTGTTCACCAATTATTTTTTATTAATTTGAAACTAGTTAGATATTTTTTTGTTTTTTTTTTTGCAAGAACCACGCTAGGGGTTTAAAATGGAGTTGGAGGTTTGAATCATCCTCCTTTAAATCTATACCAAACATGATTTTGGACCTTGGGCTGCCATTTGAATTGGATTTTTTGGTTCTTCAATACCATGAAAATAACAAAAATGGCATAGATGATAAAATGCTTCTTTGATTCAGTAATGAGTACATTAAGACATTCAATACCATGAAAATAACAAAAATGGAGACATGATAAAATGCTTCTTTGATCTAGTAATGAAAACATTCCGACGACGACTCACAAAACTAAATTAATATTAACACACTATTACCCATACTCATATACTATTACACACTATTACCCATACTCATATACTAAAAATGCTTCTTTGATGGATTATACGCCAACTGTTCGTCCTTTTCTTCTTCTCTCTTTAATTAATCCCCTTTTCGATTTCCGAAAATCCTTTTCCTTTCTTATGTTTTGCGCTGATCATTTTGATTTCAGATACCCGACGAGCTAGTGGAGTATTACCTTGCCAAGAGTGGATTTCAGTGTCCCGACGTTCGATTGTAGGTACTTCTTTGCTTCTTTTTTTTTCAATTTTTTTTCCAGTTAATTCCGCTTTGGTTTTTTTTAGGGTTTTTTTTTTTTTCTCTTCTTCTTCTTCTTTGGTATAATATGATTGCTCGGCTATGCGTGAAATTAAGCTAACTAGCTGATCAATTGGATTAGGGTAAGTTAGAAAAGGAGGATAATTTTATAGTATTTCACGGGGCGAGCTGATTATCAAGATTTTTGGATAAAAAGAAAATTATTGAATCGAAGTTCAAAAAATTAGTTTTTAAGGAGGATGTTAATGCATTTTTAAGTGCAAAATTAGTGGTCTTTCGGGATGCTAATTTGTTGATTTTGAAGTTCTTATGTTTCGTTATTCACTTATGGCTTGTTATATGGAACTGTTGGTTATCTTGTCTGCTGACTGTTGTTAACTAATTGTCCTCTCTCTGTTGTTTGCTGAAAGATTTACCCCTAATTCTAAACATACGTTTGGTTCATGGATTAGAACAATGCGATTAGAATTATTTTCGATTTACGTGTATTTTTTGTGAGAAAAAATATTGTAGCGAACCACGAATCATAATTCGAATCAGGTTACGAATCCTCCAACCAAACATGCTAGTCATCCAATTTACATAAAATTAAACTGGCTATGGTCAACGGGACGGACATGGATGTGTTTGCTTGGAGATTTTTTTTTTCTTTTGCTTTGTCTTTCTTTTTTTTATTCATCCTCCTTGCATGTTGTTGCTTTGGTGGGTCTAATCGAGTGGCGCCATGTCTTGGTTATTTAGCTGCACCCTCAGTGGAATGAAATTTTAGAAACTGATGTCATGATCTAGAAATATAACCATTTTCTTATCTGAAAGATTTGACTAAACACAAGGTAAAAACTCGTGCCTGTTAGTTTTTACATCTCCATGTGGCAGATCTCTTGTAATCACATTCCTTTGACCATAATCAAAGAAGCCTATAATTTCTATTTTTGGTTTTTAAAGTGTATTTGAAAAATAAGAAAATGTCACTGTTTTTGTCATATGCTCCTTGTGCATTGACCTTTTTATTATTTTTTTTAATAAAACTAACTTATTACTTATTGTTACTTAAAACTAATTTATTAATGCTATTACAGTTTGAGATACATCTGTTTTTACACTATCATTTTTTAAAGTAAAATTAGCGCATACTGACCGTTAATTTTTCATGAATCTGAGATCAGCTAAAGTCTCTTTCAATGAAGATTCTGACTGACTGCAACGATTTTGTTGTTCTTTAATTCTCTTGTTGAACTTTTCATAGAAGGTTGTTGAAAGGTGCTCTTTTGAACATATCTTGGCTATAATTTTCATCATTTCACGGTCAAAGTAAATAGTCTGGATAAAAGATTCAAAACTCAGGGTCTAAACATAGAAAATAGGAATCTTGGAAAATAGAATCCCAGGAGAGTTAGGAATGTTAGAAAATATGTTATTCCAAAAAGCTGGGTTTGAACTGTGGAAACATAAGAAAATAAATTATGATATAATCAAAAATAAAAGATGAAATAATATATTAAACTAATGAAAAAATATTAATAATAGTCAAATAAATTTAGAGAGGAGTGGAAAGGAGACTTAGAGGTATTTTTAAGTTTTTAATAATATTTAAATCTTAAAATCTACTATTTTAACAAAAATATGCTATAATTTATTAAACATCCTATTAAATATGTTATTTTCCTCCCTCTCTGGTACAACAATTCTTGGACTCGAACTGCGAGTAGTTTCATTGGCCCAATTTGGATTACCAGGTCTTTATCTGTGATTATTAACACGTACGCGTATGTCTATATATATATATATATATATTATAGGCGCTCTTAATTAGTTGAGATTTTATTTGAGGTAGCTGCATGCATTCAATATAGAATTCGAGTCTATTAATCTGGAAGTCAAGCTTTGACCATTTTATATCGATTTGGCTATACACACACGCGGAAACAGACCCGACCAAATAATCTAGCAATGATCATCCAGTCAAGGATAGTAGAGATCAGAGAACAAAACCCATAGAAGACGTAAATAGATATACTTTGGTAAAAAATGTACAAAGTTAACGTCAATACCAAAATATAATTTAAGTGTTTGGTTTTAGATTATACTTTATCATCATTTTATAAAAAAGTTAAATTTAGAATTTATTCAGTCTAGAATTAATTTCAAGACTTGAAACAGTTTAAGATATTACGCGAGTAAGAATTTAACGTGA